GCCGGGTGCCTCTTCCCCTAAAGCCTCCGTGGGTGTCGGGCTCCTCGCCTCCCTTGGCTCCGGTGAACCTGGAATTCAAGAACGCTGTTTTGTTTGCGCTGAATTTATTTGATGATTATGAATTCTGTTTATAGTGAGGGAGGCTTGGTTTCCATTCACGGGTAGTGCCACAAAGCTTCCCTTTTAAGCAGAGGTATTTACGTTTTAAAAGAAAGAAGTGGATTCAGAGAGGAAAATGCAAGGAGACATTTGTGTGGGGTGTGGCAGCCCCTGGCGGATGGACACCTGGGCAGTGACTGCCCCGCCATGCCCAGTCTGGGAGGGAGGTTAAGGCAGGTGCCCTGCTGCACAGGGACAAGGGGGCCTGCACCTTGGGCTCTGGGTGGCCTGGCCAGCAGGGAAGCAGGGGGATGGGAGAGCTGACCTCCAGGAACGTGAAGGCAGGTCCCAGCAGGCTCTGAAGGCACCCTGGAAACCAGCCGATAACTCAAAGCCCAGTCCCTTCCAGCCGGCCTGTGAGAGGTCCAACTTCAGACGCGGGTGCTCCGGGGCGATGTGACCTTTCGCTAATGAGCCCAGGCTGTTTGCTCTGTAGCTGCCTGCGGTACTCTGGACAGAGACTTGACACGCTCCAGTCACACGGCCTGTCACCGTGGGGCAGAGAAATAACACTGCTTCTCAGATGGGTGGGGGAGGGCAGACAGACCCAAGGGCGTTGTGGGGAAGAGGGAGGGAGGGAGGGCTGTGAGCTAGCTGATTTGCCGGGCATCTTTGAACAGGCCACCTGTATCAGCCCGTTTCACCGACGACTGGGTTCCCACCACACTGCCCACCAGACTGTCCCTAGAGCTGACTATGTGGCTGGGCCAAAGGCTGGACTGCGTCAGCAAGGTCCCCTGGAGTCACCAGAACTCACGGAAGTTCCTTTCTCTGTGTGTGTTAGTCATCACTTAAACAGGAGGACTTTCCAGGCACGCCAAGACGTTGTACCAGGAAATGGTCCTGGAGGATGCAGCCGTCAGAGAAACACAGAAAAACCCCTCCCACTTACAAAGTGGCACCTGTTACCACGAGAAAGGAAACCGTGTAGCCAACCCCCAATTCCTGGGAAAAGAGGGGCCACAATGTATCAGTTCCTTCAGCTATGACAAAAGCAGCTTCTCCTTTAGCTACATTGAACCCACTCCTTTATCCACAATGTACCTGATCCTTCCGTTACAACGCACCTGCTCCTGGCGTTTCTGTGTGTCAGCTCCTGAAAAACAATGTACCTCCTCCTACAGCTACAATGTGCCTGTTCCTTTGGGTACAATGTATCTCCTCCTTTAGCTACAACATGCCCATTCCGTCAGCAACAACATACCCACTCCTTCAGCTACAACGTATCCGTTCCTTTAGCTACAATGTATCCACTC